GGGGGGGGGGGGGGGGGGGGGGGGGGGGGGGTCAGTCCAGTCACCGGGAGAGTAAATAAGTAAATGTTACACGCGATAGAGCGATCGGAACGGTTTTTAACGTGTGAAGACAGCAACGACAAAAACAACAACCCCGAACATTCGCAAGATATCACCGAGTCTCGCCACCTTTTCCCGCAGTGCTTGCGCGTCCTTTACAGTGTCGACCGCAGCACCGTCACCGGCCTTCTTCCGGACTGCCCTCAGCTGCCCATTGCCGGCCTTGGACAAGAGCCTCTCCGACCGCTGCCGTTTATCCTCCACCTCGGCGCCGACGTTTGCCGCATCCAGTCGGAGGAGGTGGTCGAGGTCCTGCACCGGCGATGAAGGGCGAATATAAATAACCATTCGTACCAGATACATGTACATGTTATACTTCGACAAAAGTGGTAAATAAGGGAGGGGCCAAAGTGGAAGTACCACCGGGGGGAGAGGGGAGGGCGAGCAGCGCTGATTGCGTTCAAGTGTTTTGCGGGGCTGCTGCTGCTGCTGCTGCTGCTGCTGCTGCTGCTGCTGTGGTTTTATGTATTGCTGTAGATGGAGATGAAAGTGTTTGAACACCTTGGCCCGGAACAACAACGGCAGTTGTCAGATGTTTGGCGAAACGGAGGAGTGAACAACACATATATATATAGTTTTCTTCTCGAAGGGATCGGGCTTGGACATTTCACAATGTGGTACAAAAAACCTGTTGTGCTCTAACGCTATCATAGAGGGGAGATTCGGGGCATGTTTGCTGTCGTCTCCAGCGTCAACCAAAAAACAACAGATCGTCATCGTCATCAACAACAACAAGGTTGACCATGAGACGAAAGCACCAGAAAAAATAAGAAAGAATGGATACCGCCCGAGATTGTTGGGGAACAGATGAAAATCTCGACTTTTCGACACTTCTCTCCATCGTGAATGGGTTTTCCGCTGAATCATCTAGCCGACGTTCGCACCCATTCCTCCGTATTGCGGTGGACTCCGCAGAGAGCGGTTCATCAACGGACACAACTGCTGCATTTGTGCGTTTCCAGCGCGCGAACAGCAGTATGAGGGAAATAAAAGTGACCGCGGGCATCATTGTGTCTCAAACTCCGGTGGGAATAGGCACCAATTCTCGGCCTTCTGGGCGTTCAACCAATCGCTGAAATGGGGATGAAGGCGAGAGGGAGAGAGAGCAAATCACAGAACAACATGACGAAAAAAACGTATGCGTCGATTCATTCGACTTGGTGCTCAAGCAGCCACAATCTTGGTCTGAAAAACGACTTGAAATGAGAACCGTGTGTTCGTCCAGCCAACGCGTCTACAGTACACACCCTCCCTATGGCGCAACAAGTGCTGCATTCGCGCGTTTCCGGCTTGCACCCAGTAGGGCAGTGACCGCAGCAGCATCATGGTGTCTCGCACTCCGATCAAATAGGCAGGATTTTAGTTCTGCGAGCTTGTGTGCACGAACACGGGGTTGGTGATGAGACAAGGCGAGAGGGGCGAGCAGACTGCCCCCCCACTTGCTGCTCGAACGGTGTTGCTTTCGCCTTCCACTCCACAGCCCTACCCACAGAGCCTGGTCATCGAGCGCGCTTCGCTATTATCGTCATCTGACTTCTTGAGTTGTCGGCATTTGATTCCCGCGATGTAAGCCTTTCTCCTGCCGTGTGTTCAGTCCCGAGAAAGATATTATTGTTCGTTGTGTTGTTTACGGTAGTGCACCAATCCACCAACATGTTTGCCTCCTCCCAAATTGTGCTGCGCGCTCCCAAGCTCGAAAAAAGGAAACAAGTGCCTCTTTTCAACGGAGTTGGGGACACCATGATGCTACTGTTTGCAAGGCGCGAATGCTGCGCTTCTCTGCCCGCCCGTGGCTAGTGTGTGCACTGAACAACGGTGGTTGGACGGCACCACGGTACAAATTTCAAGTCGTTCCTCCAGCCAGGAGTGCCACAGTTTGTCGGATGTCTCTGACCAGTTTTGCCACGCGGACACGTTGTGGACTGCTCCTCTCCCCGCCCCCACTTGAGCGCTTGGTTGAACGACCAAAAGCCCGAGAAAGATGCCCCTTCTCACTCGAGTTTGAGACACCATGATGCTGCCACGGTTACTGCCCTACTGCTGTTTGCAAGCCGGAAACGCGCGGCTGCAGCAGCGATTCTCTGCCCTTGGCGGGGGGGTGTACTGCTGTAGCTGTAGATGAGTTGGATAGAAAAAAACACGGTCCGAATTATTCCAAGTTATTTTTCAGTGACTTTTTGTCGCATGTTTGCTTTTTCCCTCCAATCAGCTCGGTCACGCGGAGACGTCCTGACTGCTCCTCTCCCCGCCCCCACTTGAGCGCTTGGTTGGACGACCAAAACACTGCGGGACAGTTGTCAACGATGTAGAGTTTGGGATGAAATGAGGCCTCCGGCTACAAAAGCCCGGAGACTCCACCCAGGGTTACTACCCCTTGCGTTGACGCCCTCCGTGTCGTCAACGCGGCAGTCGCTCAGAATACTAACCCCAGTCAAACCAAATACCTAGCGCAGTTGGGTGGGCGGGGACGGCTGTTCTTCCTGCCGTACTCTCCCTCCGTTAGGGTTGGGAAGGCTTGTCACGAGTGGGTGCTCGCTCCAAGCTTCTCTGCAGTCAGTCTGTTCTCATCTGCAGAACCCCTTCGCGGTTCCATGATTTCGACATGATTTTACTGCGGTTCCATAAAAAAAAAACAGTAAACCGAGTGTCGAGCCATTAGTCTATTTCCCGAACGCAAACGTCTCCGCGAAGCCTTCTTGCAGTGGCAAATCCACTGCTTGGATACACCGCTGCTCCTGCTCCCTCCGATCCGGATCTCGCGGACGCTTAGCGGATGAGCCCCCCCCGTGTATCATGGACCCTACGTATCGCTGGGCTACCCTTCTCGTGTTCCACCCCACTAACTCCACAAGGGCTTCTACAACCGTCCCCGCGAGGGACTGGCTGACGGCTCCTCCTACCCTAAAGGAGTGCATAGTATACAAGCCGTGGTGGTCGTTCAACCGGCCTTCCCGCAAATGACACTGCAGAAAAGTTATGCAAAGAAAGCTGGAAACGCACAAAGAAAGGCAGTGTGTTCGTTGTTCGTTGTCCTCTAGAAAAGGGGTGGGCAAAACTGCTGGGAAAAACATACCGCTTCACTTTCCAGATGATTTTTCTGGCCATGATGCCGACTCGGTAAACAATCTGTTAGAATGGGAACGAAGGATAATTTTGCTTCAGAAACAACAAATGGCGTGGCGAGCGAGGTGCCAGGAGGGTGTGTGCGTCGCGCTCCCAGAAATGGCGCCAAGGCTCCGTTACTGGAAACAGGCTCTAGAAGCATATTTTTGTCTCTTCCAGATTGTTCACCAGAATATGACAACAACCACCACATTGGATGTAAATCATTTGAAAACTGTCCATGCTCTACTGATGGTGTTTACCAACACCCAACATAACAAGAAACAAGCTAACATGATACAACCTGAATGGTATGCCCTACCTACCATGCACCAGGTATACCATTCTCATCTACTGCTGTATAAACATTACTGATACGTTACCCCCAAAGGATCAAAAACAATTTGTAAATAAAAAAAAACGGCGGGAAACACCTGCTGTCCGTGAAATTAAAAAATCTGTAGATTTGAAAAACGAGTGATGTAGGGCTGGTGATGTACTGCTGTAGACTTCGTTCCACCTTTCATGATTTTTACAATATTATTCCTAATATGTCTAATAAACCAGCAAGCTGTCAATAGACACTGCGCCGTGTCCCCTGTGAAGGTTACACTTTAAAATACACAATACACGACACAACGGAGGGATTCTCCCCGATATTTTGTCGTTGACCCAGTAGAGAACTACAGGGGATGTATTGTAAAATGTAAGTTACCTATAGAGATGTTTTTGTACTTAGCACCAGCTGGCATCACTGGTATAAATCATCAGTGTATAGACTTAAAAAGACTCGAAATAAGTCCAGTACTCAGCCGTTTTCCCTCCACTCACTGAAAAGACTCCACCACATCCCGTTCGACTGTGGGTATATCTCGAATGGGTAGTCTTTCTGTGTGTGTTTTTATTATTCCTTAATGTATATACAAGGCACCCCCATCCGCCCGGTGCCAAACTAAAATATCTACTGGTACTGCTGTGGAAGGTTTCGCTACACACAAGACAGCGAATGGATTCAATCCCCATCTATCCACAAAATTACCGGTCGGCCTTTTGTATAATGTATTATTTTCTTGCGAAAACAGAACAAGTTTGTGATTTCCTCTCCACATTGCAGGTTGCAGTCATATGATACAATACTTTAGCCTGCATGTTGCCTGCTTGTGGGCAGAGCATGCCCACGACAGCGGTCACGGTTATCTACTTGAAAATAATCGGAACAACGCATGACCACACAGCAACGTGTTCTCGTGTACGTGTGCGCGCCGAACCCTTGGGACCAAAACATGTCGCCGCTGGTGGTGATATCTATTATTAATAGTATCATCACATCATCAGATATATGTGGTGGATATACAATATGAACGCACACACCCCGAATCTATGGAACACAGCCCCTGCTGTGTTGTGGTATGCAACATGTACTTTTATGTACGGAACACACGAGCTGAACCATGGAGGCAGCGCGGACATCCAGCGCCCGAGGAGCTGCGGAGGTCGCTCGTCCGACGCATACATTATACTATGCATAGGACCAGCAAATATAGGAAATTGGATATGCGCGGCGTGAGTAACGCGCACCCCGCAAGAGCGAGGCTTGCCGGGCCGGAGTATCTACCGAGTACAACGGTAACAACACGCTAAAAACTGGAGGTTATTTTTTGGAGGATTGTGTGAATCAGTCTCCCCCGAACAGCAAAAAAAATCAGATGAAACATCGGAACAATTTCTTTCAAACACTTGTGGAGGGACGAACAAAATCTCAACAGCTCAACAGGGAGGAAAAACGACGACAACAACCCTGAACGCGGGGGGGACGAAAGTTCTAGTCTACTGAGTCTACTGCTGTAGAGGGCTAGAAGATATGCATATGAGAAAGTCAAGAGCGATAGCAGCGGTGCGCTGGAACCAGTTCAAGCAAAGAAACAATAACAATACACGGTCCGTGCTGAGACACGAAAGGCAGTAGCAGCGCACCTGGTATAGCAAGCGCTCGAGGAACAATTCCCGCACGTCGACCCATTGGTGGAAACCAGCAACCGCAGCCACGTCGGACGCCGCTATCCTCAGCACCTGCTCCTGCTTATCCTTGTAAGCCGCCGCCGCCGCCGTCGCCGTGCGCTCCTTGGTGGACATTTTGTTGCTGCTCGCTGTCTAGTATATATACCTCGCTTTCGTTATTCTTTCTCCCGCAGCCGCGGTGAATTCTTTGTTAGCATCGACGGCAGCAAGCAGCCAGCAGCCGGTGTCTTGTACGTGTCAAACCCTGCTTGCTTGTGCAGCTTGGTGGTACGAGGTGTAGACAGCAGTAGGCACGGAGGGATAGATGGACCACGTGGATGTTGATGTCAACGTCGTAGGCAGGCAAGCAACGCGAGAAAACGACGAGGAGGTGAGGTGAGGTGAGATGGATAGACCAGCGGGTGTGAGCAGCGGGTCTTACGGGAGGGGGGGGGTAACAACGCGGAGAACACCTGGCGGAGATTTATTCAAGGACAAAACAATGGCGGAAAAACAGCAAAATAGCGGAGATTATGTACCAGGTAGTGCCACGGAAGCAATTTGCAAAATGCATGCATGCGTACTTGTACGGAGTACGGAGGGTTGGGCGGGGAATCATGCCCAACTTGTATCTTGACGACGGCGTTTGCAGATTCACATTTCACAGCAGTCATCTACTTGGTACCCTTGCAAGCATACTACACATCGGTCTCCAGGGGGGGCTAACACCGTAGTAAGGTTGCGAGTCAGCGCACAGGGGTGCGAACGATTTTCAAAGCGTAATTTCTCCACAACCGGAGGTTACCACTGTCGAACAGGGCGGTTTGGGAAAAATATCTCATCGAGAGCTTTCCTGAGAAGTGTGTGGAGAAATCACGCTTTGAAAATCGATCGCACCCCTGTGCGCTGACTAGCAACCTTACGGGCAGTCTGGCTCTTCAGAATGATTACGTACATCACAGCAGTAGGCTACTGCAGTAGATGCGTAGAGACAACAGCGGAGGAGAGCGGGCGTGTAGTGTACATGTTGATTTATTTGTAGATACGCGCGGGAGCGGGCGCCCCAGCCGGGAAGCGATCGAATTTGATAGCTTGAGAGTTTAGCAACAACGCTACAACATCACCAACCGTTTGGTTTGAAATACTTGCTGTACACTCTGGAAGTACATGTTGGACCGTGACAGATTGCGCCCTTGGTGCGCCCCACCCACAGCCCAACCCCTTGACCCTTTCGCAATGAATATCTCTACACAGGCGGGTCGGCCTCCTCCTCCTCCTGCATGGCAACTCGACTCTAGGCTCTTCATATGCAACACAGAGCCACGGCCATCCATGGCCGAGAGAGAGAGCCAGAACGTTAGGCAGCAGATTGTGTGGCGGGATAAACGGGTCGTTTCTCGCGTTGGCTCTACTGCTGTACGTACATACCCACAGATCCCTTGCCACGGGCGAGCAACACCAACCTAGCGTTGCAGCAACAAAATACCAAGAAACCTCGCACCTCCTCTCCTTCGTTGCCTCTTCCCGACGTTCAGGATCGACACGCCCTCGCAGCCCTTCCTGCTCACGCTGTACCTGGGAACACACCTCCACCTGACTCAAGAAAGACGAACGCTGGGGGGGCCGACAGAATGGACCGATTTCTCACAGCAGGAAGGTTGTAAGGTTGTGCGGGACGAGTTTTCCTGATCTGTGATTGGTCAAAAACCAGCGGCGGAATTTCGAAAAAAGGCACGACCGCCGACCGCCGGATCCTTGTCGACGGGGGACAGCTCCCCCTGTGAATGTACACATGTACACTGCGCGAGGAGGAAGGAGAGGTGGGCGACTCAAGGAACACAGTGGTAGAGCACCAAGGGCACGGGATGAGCGCCCAACAAGGTGGTGTTGTTTCTCCTCTCGCCCGCAGCCACGATTTTCCCAAATATAGCCAGCTCGCCGTCCTTGATGGCACAACAGTGAGCGGGGAGTGCCCCCCGTCGTCTGTGTTGCCTCCCGATCGAGGTGAGCCCTTGCTATCCGCCATTTCAAAGGTTCAAAGTTCGTGGGAGGATTTTACGTGTGCTTCATGCAATAGGTAAGCATCGGGCATCGCTCCCCGTTGTGTTTGTTTGTGCTCGCGGAGAAGAGAGAGAGATGCGCGATTTATGGAAACATTTGGTACAACAGCAGTCAAGGTTCCCCTGCGGGAGGTATGTAGGTGATTTGCCTCCCGGGGCGACGCAAGAGGACATGGCCAACCAATGCCATCGCGGTCGCATGGTTGATCGTCATAACGTTCGGTAGTGCCAGCTTGCGTGCAACCCTGCATACAATAATTTGCCTGGAATTTGCATCATATGTTCGGGGTATTTTGTATTCTCCCGCCGTGACTTCCCCTTGTGGGCGAGTGGGGTTTTGGCTATTATAGCGGGTTTGCTGCAGATCCTTGCTGCTGTAATCCGCTGCGTTAGATCACTTTCTCTTCTTGTGTGATCGTGTTTGTTTCCCATGGTTTGTGGGGCTTTGCACGCATACACCAACAACAACAGATCAAAGAGACGCTCGACGTGCCCAAGAACAGTCACAGATAGATGTAATCTAGAGCGCTACGTACCCAAACTTCTAAATTTGAATTTTTCGATTTTTCGGAATCGAATTTTACTGTGGTACACATTTATCACTGCCAGAGTTGTGCGAGAGGACTTCTGTGTCGCGTGGTGTGTTCCCATGAGCATCAAGAGTCTTGATCCCCGCTGTGGGTACGAATGCACCAGTTGCCGTGTGGTGGTAGTGTGCTGTGGAACCCTCGTCCAATCGAGGGAGTTCGTGCCTTCTTGCAGTCTCGAGCGAAATGGCCTGGCTTGTCGCGTATCCAGCAATTCCCAGAGCAGCCGGACTTGCCACCTTGCCCACCGCCGGAACGCTGTCCCCTTGGCTTGCCAGACGCACCACCACGAGCCGCCTTGTCAGACTTCTCCCCAGCAGCACGACCTCCGCCACGGGCTTTACGCTCCGCGTCGACCTGCTCTATCTTTTTCAATTCAGTTGCCTCCTTCACCATGACAGCTAGCACACACCCGGGATCCTTCTTCCAGATTCCTTGGAGCTCCAGAGAGCTTTCGACGTTTCCCTTAAGTTCTGGAGGTGAAATTCTTTTCACCAGAGCCTTGCTGACTACGTGCGCCGACTCCTCGAGTCATTCGTCGTCGGCGTCGCGGTACAGCCGCGCCACATTCGTGTTCTCCGCCAGGTAGTATTCCAACGCGCTATGAACAGCATACACTCGTTCCAGCACCGAGGCGCCCGGCTTCATGGTAGCCGCGCGGATCACACCCGCCTTCGCCTCGGCTGGCTCAACCAAAGCCTCTCCCGAAATTTCGGCGTTAAGCGACAGACCTTCCAGCAGCTCAGCCTCCGTCAGGTTTTTCTTGCCTTCAAAGCATAGACAAGACAAGCATTTGCGGATGTGCACCAGCAGCAACTCGGATGTCGACGTAGGCTGCCTTTGCACCACCCGACCTTCGTTGCCTCTCGCCACCACACGTATATACTCGCGTACCGAAGCAGAAACCGCCTCGATGCAGCAGCGGACAGCGTCTTCCCATATTCGGGCGACTTCTGGGTGGAGCCGAGCACCACCTCGCTCACACTCACTCACCCGAGTGGGACTCGCGTCGCCACCCGGCACTGCCGCCGCGTCCAGCACTTCTGCCTCGCCCTGCCATCTCCTGACCACTCCGCTTGACCAGGACCTTTTTGTTTATCGTTGCAGCCCACCTCGCCACAGCCGCAGCAGACTCACACCGACTCGATGCGAGGTACGTACTCCAGTCCACTGCTGCACACAACTTGAAACCTCCGACCGATCTTCGAAGAGACCGCCAGATTAACTAAATAGTTAATGTGGAACCCTCGTCCAATCGAGGGAGTTCGTTTGTGCTCTGAGGAGCCCTCGTGTTAGTTTCGTAACCTCAGAGATGCAAGACCGTTGGTTGACACACCACACAGCTCTTCATTATTCAGGACTGACCTCGACGAGGCAAGCCACATGTTCATCGTCGAAGTCACGCCGCATTCCTCTTCATGCACGTCACACGTGAATCGACACTTATTCCTCTAGAACCAATCATATACGATCTTGTAAACTGCCGAAATAGTTCTGTGTCCTACTTTATTCCACAGTGCACAACAATCACAGCAGCAGGTGTGTGGGCGCGTGGCGCGTGGCGCGTGGCGCGGGGTTAAAAAAAAGTTCGGTTTTCAGTTTTCGTGCCGTTCGAGGAGGCTTTCATGGTTCGGATTCCCAACCCCTGACAAAAGAGCCAGTCCCAGCGACTTTAGGCGGCCCTAACGCGCACCACTGGTGTCTCGCGAGCCCCACACGTAACGGGTAATGTACCGACGGGTCCTCTGCGTGCCATGCAGAAGAAAGTGCGAGAAAAAACGCTGTCCCAGCGGAGAAAAACGACTGCGAAGAGAAAGAAAGTCGAAATCCTACATAGTCAATGCATATGCATAGTAGTTTGAAGTGTTGAGTTTTTGTTTTCGAGTTGCGCGGCGACAGATCGGCCGGTAGAGGGAGCGACTCCAATACAGATAGCCTGGTCAGCCAGAGCAAGTCGTGAGTTCGTGACATCGTTCTCATGATGGACGCGTGGGTGTTTCGTTGTGTCGCCGAAATAGTTATTTTTACTCCTGTGTGTGTGAAGTGTGTGTTTATTATTAGCATCGACCGCGCTAACCGACTGACCAATGAAAAGACGCCAGTCCCAACGCGATTGAAAACACGAAACACTTCTAAATGCCGTTCACCCTGTGAGGGGGCGGCATGGGGGAGGCTAAGATATTCTCCGGTTGAAAGACAGAAACGGTAGCAACAGAAGAAAACTGCACACGTCTATGTAGTACCAAGGCTGCTATCTTGCACTCGAGTTCGTTTTGGAGTGCTTTCACCATCATCCTCGTTGCTTTCACCACCATCATTCTCATAATCATTTTTACAGCAATTTTTCGGCAGTTCTTCTCTTGTCCTTGCGCCGTTTGTTGTGGCGAAGGGCATCTGGCTCGAAGCTCTTGCTCTCTTCCTCGCCATGATTCCCTCCTCGATTGCTGTCTTGGTCTTTCTCTTGTCCTGCCGCTCCTGTGTGTGCGTGCGTGCACGCTCCCCCATCCCAATCCAGATAGTCGGAACCCCGATCGGCGACAATGCACCTCACGTATGCAACAGCAGTCATATCTTTGCTCAAGACCTCCAAGTATGGCAACGTCACTCGCGCTGATATGGTGTGCCCTACCCGGCGTACCGATAAAACATGACAGCAGTGGCGAGGACTGCCGGAAAGGACCCGGGCGGTTTGAAGACCAAGCACACGCCTCGATGAAGTCAGAGGAAAGCGAATAGCCCGGACCGACTCCGCCAAGGCTCCGGGTAGGGATGGGTAAGCGGCCTCGTGAGAGCATAAGCTTGGTCATGCGTGAGTTGTTGTCGATCAGTGAGAGACGAGGCTGCTCTTCGCAGCTTTGACGGGCTCTCCTCCGAACGGAACAGAGCGCAGATTGATTCTATGTAAGCCATGTTCCGTAAGGTGGCGTGAGACGGATGCCTCCGTCGGCAAACTCTCGATCATTCGCCGTCACCGCTCTTGGTCGAATTTTATCGTGCTTCCGCCGTCCGTGCTCCATGCCCCCAACCAGACTCCCCGCCCCAACAACGCCCAGCCCAACGGGGCTCGCAGGACAAAGAAGAGCAGGGCGAGAAGCACATGGATGTTACCTCGCTTCAAGTTGTCGGTCGGGTCCATTCCAAGAACTGTGTGGCGCTCGTCTCAACGCCCCACCTTCTCTGTCTAGCGCGGGCAGAGGTTGAGCACCAAGCGATGCGAACGCAGGATGCCGAGCGTTGCCGCCCTACTGGTACTTGGGTGTCTAGCTTAAGGTTGCGGCGGCCTCTCCCTTTCGGTTTCGGACTGTGGATCCTTTGAACCCTTGCCGGAAGAAAACCTGAAGGTTCGTATTATCCCTATACCCTGCAATTCCTGGCGTTCTCACCTGCCTCCTTTGGCTCATCCCTTCGTTGTCTTTCGTGGCTTTTCTTATTTTTGCTCTAGACCGGCGAAGGCAGGGACCAGAGCGACACCCTACGTCGGGTCCAGCGGGGACGGCGCCGGCGCCGTGGAGGTACGATGTTCTCGTGCCCATCGAGAGAAAGAAGGGGTACATGAGGCTGAGCCGACGGCTATTGTTGATTCGTGGCCGCAGCTGCTTTGGTTTTGATTCCTTTAGGAGCTTCTCTTTCCTGTGTATCTTGTCCCGATGTGGAATGCGTGCGAATGCGTCGGGATGTCCCGCCAACAAACAACAGGCGTTTCATGAGCTCCACCAGGCACTCTTCAATATCATTAATCCAGAACGCGAAACCCGCCGGGATGATACACCTCCGGGTGACCGCGATCGACGGGGCTTGCCAGCCCCCGACGAAGTCGGCGGCGGCGGCGGCGGCGGTGGCGGCGGCGGCGGCGGTGGCGGCGGCGCCCACGCTGAGGAAGAGGAAGAGGAACCCTGAGGTCAGTTTTTTCGTTTTTGGCTCGTAGCCCGCTATAATAGTACATGTAGACGTGTGACGCAGGAGGTGTCGTCTGTTCTTCTGTCTATCTATGTTGTCCTTGACACGACGCTGCGTTCGTGACGGTCGAATGTACTTGCGCCGAATGTCTGTTTGTCGAGGTAACTTCAGGTAATCCTAACATGGACCATCTCGTTGCACCACACAACAACTGCTATGCCGCACTACACCAGACGTAGGTCGCTAGCAGCAAGAGCGGCAGCGACAGGGCCGGTACCCCCTCCCCAGCCCGGTCGAGTTCGCCACCCACCGCCTGCGGCAGCCGCGGTGCCTAGGAACCTGAGCCCGGCGGAAGCGCGCGCGATGGTTTGGGCCCGGAGCGTCGGCAGCCCTTCGTGGCAGCACACTCGACGCCTTCGTGACTGTAAGGCCGACCTTGCTCGACATTGTGAGATCTCCCGCGGCTGAAGGAGGAGGTCACCCGCCGTGCGGTGCCCGACTTGGAGGCGGTAAGTGGGCAAGAGATCGCTCCAAGAGGGCGTTGAGGTGTGGCCCCTCGGGGCTAAAAGCCTGAACTTGCCTGTCAACTCCAAGCACCTGATGCGGGGGGCTGTCGAGTACGAGGGGGAAGACGGGATCAAGGTCTGGCGTATCAACGTGCGCTGGCCGAGCCTGGACGGCCACGCCATTCCCGATCAGTGCACTACCGCGCACTACCTGTACCAGGTGGCAGACAGAGGCGGCCTGGATGACGTCCTTATCGTCGACGCTTCTGGGGTCGCCCCCCCGCCCGGGGTGGATAGGGGCTAGAGGGGCGATGCCGCCACGACGATTCCGATGAAGCCGCATATCCGGTGCCTCTTGGAAGGCCGGGCCCGTATCGTCGAGGTCCACAGCGCCAGAGCGACGGCGCGCTGCGTTGACGCCCTAGAGGGTATGGCGGCCGCGGGTGGGTCGCACGGCGTGCGGGTCCTTCCTGTCGGGCAGCTCGAGCGTACGGGCCCGCGTCTTGTTCGACGTGCGGTGCGGCGGGGGCCAGGGGTCTCCTCCCGCTCCTCGTTGGTCATCGTGGCTCCGTCCGGCCACCATGGCCTACACAAAGTTCTACCTGCTCGGTGTCGAGCTGTCTCCCTTCGAGCGCGGACGCGCTAATCTGGTGTCTAACGATGTGTACAGCGGAGCTTGCACCCGTGCCCTCTCAGAGGCACTAATTGTTTGCGGTGTCGCCGTCCAGCCCATCGAGCCTCCTCCCCTCCCCCCATTTCGATCGGCAGCGACTGCTGGCGAATGTTATTGAGCAGGTGCCGGAACGGGATGACTCGTCTCTCTGGTTATATTCGCAAACGTTGCGCTCAGCTGCTGCGTAAGTTGACGACGGCTGTTCCCACGCGGGCCCACCTACTTAATAATAACATTCGCGAGCAGTCGCCGCCGATCGAGATGATGGGGAGGGCGGGGGGGCGAGGGGGGGAGGCCCGATGGACTGGATGGCGACACCCCGCAAGTTAGCCCTGTGGAAGGAACCATCCAAGATCGATTGTAAGCGATAATATCAGCCTCACCAAAGAAGAGCAGCAACGGAGACGTAGACAAGGCAACTGAATCAACGCTCGGGACTTGTGATGGATGTCCATTCATGCACCAGTTATCGTTAAACAAGGTCGCAAAGGGAACGGGATGCTGGCGCATCGCCGCTTCCTGGTCCGGTGTCGCGGCCTCGCTTCTCTGCCACACGCCCTCGGGTACCGTGACTTTCTTGCCGTCCACAGTGGACATCCTCGCTGCGGGAATGAAACAAGATTATGGGAAATGTGACATCTCGTGCCGGAGAGTTCCACCACTTCGCCGGGGATGCGGTCGAGACCTACTCTAGCGGGGAGCACCAGACTACCGTGTTGCCGACGGTCTACGGTGCGTGCAACCGCTCCGACGAGCATCCCCCGATGGGAAGGCCCTTCGCTTCTTCATATATAGACTATGTATCCAACGCGGGGATTCTGGTCAACCAGGAGAAGCGCCTTGTCTGCAAGGGATAGTCAAAGGGCGCCCTGAAGGTCTCCGACACTGAGCAGAAGGCGCTCATGAGGCAGACCCCTCCCGCCGATCAAGCCCGCGTTACGGACGCGGTCGGCCTACAGTAGGTGTTGAATTGAAGGCCACAGGGATTTGTTGTTGCACCCAGCTAGGATCGTTCTCAGTGGTTTCTGAAATGTGCCACCGTAGAGAACACGTCGTCCCCCGTTGGCAGGCATATGGGGCAGCGTTGTGTTTGTTCCATGCCGGCAAGAGCAACGGGAGTTTGAGAGTGTCGAGACTTCGATGTGGGTTTGTGTCTGTAGATTGGTCCCCTGATGGGAAAATCCACAGTCCATGCGGAAGGCCATCGATTCGGTTTGAAGGCGTAGTAGTGTGCCCCAGCGTTTGCTGGTCGGACCTGATCTGCATTGCATATTGGCTCCTCCGCCTGTGAGATGTCTTGTGATGTGCATGACGGGGCGAGTTCCGGACACATAACAAGCCTTAGACAAACCGAATGATACCGGGTTCAATATCTTCGCCTCTGGCCTGTCTAGTTGTGTGTGTCCTGGCCGGGCTAGGCTTTCCCCCCCAGACTAGAGCTCGTGCATCTTTTCCACCCAGCCGGAGGCGTTGCCATCGAGAATTATGGTTTTTTATTTTGGGGAATGAAGTTGTGCGTGCGAAGTTCTTCGCGCCCCCCAAACGAAGAAGAGTTGGACGGGGTGTATAGGGTTGGGTGGAATTGGAGCGAACCTCCAACATTTCGGCGTTGCTCGTATCGATAGACTTTCCCTCCCGGAGGAGAATGTCGTGATTGTGCTGTAGTTCACGCAGAAAATGCATGATTCAGTTTTTTTATCCATGTGGCCGTCCGTGTGTCAATCAATCATCTCGCAGCATCGATCACATCCTTCATGACACCCACACGGCCTGTAGCTAGCGCCGTTCCTCTACCCCTTCCACTAACTGTGACCGTAGCACTCTTGTTGTGAAGCACCGATGAACGCTGCCCGCATGCCACCCTTGCCCATTCTTCAAGATCCAGGCCGTGTCCTTGGAGCACTTTGAGCATTAGTTTCCTGGCGCTAATATTATTAGCAGATTTGCCGCAAAGAAGGGTAGGAAGAGAAAGGGGACAGAAATTAAATAATTAATTAATTAATTAATTACACAGGGATATATTGCGGGGCCCCCAAGAGAAGAATTGAAGAGCGAGAGATTTTGGGGACGCAGGTTCCGTGTCGCGAGTTATCGACGTCGATGCCATTCCGTCAATTCCGCCACGCAAGGATCCCAAAACCCAGATAGATCGAGGGAGGAAGTTGGCACGAAAAATCCAAATGGGTGACCTGGTCACGGAACGCGGCAAATCATCATCGCGGATGACGAATATCCATCCGGAAGGAAAGACGGAACACAACCGCGATAAACGGATGTTAACCCCTAATTCTTAATATGCACGGGACACAAAATAGCGACGGGAGACCTAAAATAGGGCAGGATGGTACCACCATGGATCAGAGGTACACTGGCCAAAGCCAGGAAGAAACCGCGGTACGTACTGCTGTTTCTTGATGGGCTCCCGGTAGGTGAAGCCGTTCTCGATGTACAGCAGCCCAGTGTTGTTGAGAACGTTGAAAGATACTTCGTAGGATGAAGACATTCGCTTAAGAAGAGCGAGTGGTGGGGAGTAGAGGATTGTGAGGAGGAGGGGGGAGGGGGAAGGCAGGGGCAAGCGTAGCTCGCGCTGCTGCTGTTGTTCCCAAAATTGAGTGGCTGCCCGTCCCGACTACCCGTGAGCCACAAAGGCAGAAACGAGAATAACAGATTCCGCGAAGAACATTCTCCATGCGCACGCCCCAGGGCTCTGGGGCTGCTAGAGGCCGCAAGGGGAAAGCCAGCGTCCATGAGCGCATCGGCCGCCATGATCGCGAGCGCTTTTGGGAAGTTGGCATCTACAGAGCTGACCAGAATTCCCATGTTTCGGAACAGAAAGCCAGTTCGGCTGACGTGAAAAATCTCGCCGCAAAACTGACGTCATTCATTCGGTGGGAACCGTTACACGGTTGTGCGCAGCAGCAGCACGCGAGGCAGGCACGATCACTCGACCGCGCATGCTACAACAGAACTGTCGATTGCCTAACAAGACATACTGAAGGAATAGTGACGAAACGGTAGTCACACTTATGACAGCCCGTGGACGGTGGAGGGGGGCAGCTCTCGCAACTAAATTCGAAGGTAGCCGGAAGCGGGATACATAATTCAGGCCTGAACGGTCCAGGATGGCAGTCGTGAGACTGCAGGACGTCGCCAGCGCTTTCAAACAGATTGGTAACCTCCTTCATGCATGCCGACGGACCGAGTAGGTCGACACGCGGGAGGTCGGGCGGCAGGACACATGGTATCTTATCTCCACACAGGAAAAAATAAATAAATAATTACTCTGAAACCAAGAGAAGCAATTTTTTTGTAGGGAGGCAGACGAAATCGTTGGTTAGCCAAGAAGGTCAGACAGATCCCGACTGGACATGAGAGACAGCGCGCACACAAGTTCGAAGTAGTTTGCACGGGGATATATATGTAACGATGGACCCCATCAAATCGATCACTACATAGATAGCTCGGTGGCGTTCACCACAAACAAACCCCCGTTCACACTTGGCGTCTAAAGCTTCCCTGCGTCTTTTTCTTGGGAGGCTCTTTTCTGCCTACGAAAGCTCCCCATCCAGCTGGGAGACGTAAGTTGGCGACAGCTGCTGCACCCTTCGGAGATCATGTGATGATAATCGATCTCGGGTAGCCCAGTGATGAAGGAAGGAATCCTTCCGGGGGTGGGTGTATTTCGCGCCGTGCTGACCGTTTCGTGGGCGGTCTAATTTATTGGCATACGTCAAGACCCCCCGCTCGGTGGTCGATTTGAGCTGCTTGAGTTTTTCCCGGGGATGGGGATAACCGCATACCGGTAGGTAACATGTTTTCCCCCGGGTTATGCAATATTTAGAACTTTCGTATTTTTTATTATAGTACCTGGTAGTAAAAAGGATACAACGGAGATGGAGAATGATCGATCGGGTTACTAAAGTCTGTACTCTGGGCGCTCTGCGCTCCGCACGCTGCGGCAGCTGAAGCTGTGCTGCTGTGCAGGGTGTAGGTGTACGGTTTAGGTCGTCAGCATACATGCAAAATACCTCTGCAGATAGATGTGGAGAGGGAAGCATCGACAACCAACCACATTTATATTCGTCGAGAAACAAACGTTAATGAACAGCGAAGAGCAAAGCATAAAGAAAGCTAGACACAGAACCCCCCGGGATGGGGGACACGGAACCCCCAGGGATGGTGAACTTTCGTCCCCTCGCGGTAACGAAGTTTGTCCCCCCGCGGTAGGTCACTACCGGTAGGTAAAACATCAAACCCTGATTTGCGGTGATTACCGGTAGGTGACGTGGAAAGTCTGCGGTTATCCCCATCCTTGGTTTTTCCTCCCCCCTTCTTCGTGGTTTTTCGCCATTCATTGATGCCTCCCTTTTGATGAGCCGCATGCATAGCACCGACCGCAGCCCGCCGCTGACGGGACCGGCACTAGGAATTTTTTTGTAAGATTGTAAGAAAATGCATACAAAATTACTAATTGATGCACGCCGGAACTGGCTGCCATGGTGAAAGTGAAAGTATAATCCTCTAACAACGTATTTTATCAACGCACACCCATGCACTGCACGTGCTTCGAATTGAATGTGTACGTCGCCTTGGGAATTCTTCCTGTCTTCCACAACAGTCTTAAGTAAGTGTTGTGTGCATAGTAGTAAACAAACAACAAACGGCGGGCCGAACATTTCATCGTGAACGAACGAATTAAAGTTATTATTATGTGTTTCCTCGCAGTACTTCAGGTAGATACATACCACCAATAGTAGGACAGGGGGGCACCAACGCCATGACACGCTGACAGACAGACTGACTTCCGCACACACGTTGCAGGAGATAGACATATTAATCATCGTTCAAATCTTGGCACTTACTTGTTGTTCATTTGTTTTATCTTCAGCCGGACAAAGACAGACACGAACCAACAACAACAACTCGTTCGTGAGACGAGCCTAACCTAGACGGCCCGAAACCACACCGTGCCCCCTTACATAATATTTGTGCAACACCACCGACCACGTGGTGGTAGGTACTCCTTACGCCCATTGTTCTTCCGCTGTTGCTGCTTTTGTGAACCGAACCGAACCGACGACCGACAGAAAGAGGAGGACTTACACTGGCAAGCGGGTTTCGTCCGCCAAGCCACAACAACACAGCCCCATTAATTTACGGCTTTCACGCCCGCATCATCGTCATCATCACCATCATCCAAATCACTAAAAGGCATTCATAAATGAAGGCAGGCGCAAGCATGAACACAACGAGAGAGACAGAAGAGAGTAAGCCAACAACAACGAGACTGACACCGAACGAAACAAAAGACATCCTGTGTACTAACAAATAAAAGGCACGTCGACGTCGACGTAGACAGACGTAGACGCTGCTCTCTTTCGCGCATGTTGTTCCTGCTGCCGCCCGCCTGCACCAAGGTACCACCCTGATTGATTGGCGTTTCACCCTGTGTTTGCCTTGATATCGCGAGGAATGTTCATTCAGAACCGCGCAAGTAGCAAAAGGACCGACAAATCGCGTTCTAATCGGTCCTCAAATGTCACTGTTCTCCCTATTTTCGCCGCACGGGTACTAGAAACAAAAACATGCACGCACGCACGCACGCATGCCATTTCACGAATGTATGTAATAGAAAGATCTCGCCAGCCAGCCATAGCGTGGATCGCCGTCCACCCGTGGCCGGCCCTCTGGCCCTCCAAATCGCATGTATGCCAACGAAACGACGAAACCAGACCAAGAGACAACACACTAGGGACACCGGGACATTCTTACACAGCAAACGCCAAGGCGGTGGGCTACGTCCGTACACTCGGCCCCTTCGTCCAGGCTGCAATAGCAGCAGCAGCAGCAGCAGCAAATAGGTGCCGGCCTCTCCCGTGCGGCTTTGCGAAACACGCACAACACGATAATAGCAAAACAGGCCTCTTGACATCATCAGCCAGCCGTGGAAGCAAGGACTACGCTACGGTACTCCAACAGACCCAACAGAGGCAAAATGTTAAACGGTCGCTCGGTCGGACGTTTAACCACACGCTATCCTGCCCACTACCAAGCCTCCCCAAAACACACACGAACACCGAACACACACAGAGTTGACACGTTCCCGTGCGCGTCCCCCCCCCCCCCCCCCCCCTTCTCGTCTCAAGAAACAGCTTAGTGGTGTTCCGGCGTTGCCCTCTTTGCATGGAACGGTTTTCCGGGAAAACTTTCCACTGTTGGTGCCGAGCGCGCTATGAGGGGGTTGAAGAGCCCAACAAAACAACCGGACGGACACGAAAAAGAGACCGACGGACAGAGAGGTACGTGTACAGGGAACATCTAAACAGAGCAAAATCTCGGCCGTTGTTGGCGTCCTCCCGCCCCAAACCTCTCTCTTTCCCTCTGCACCCAAACCCGCCCGCTCCGACACTGCGCAATCCCCCCGCTCTCCGCAATCCAAGCGCGAGCCGGGAGTCGCAGGCCCGTAGCCTGTGACTCTGTTGATTGATACCAATATACTAAAACAAACCCCTCGATAATTCGATAATTGAATCCCCGAGATGGCCGTCGTGATACCGACGCCCACCCCGCAAATCTCTTTGCATCATCCCCCTATCCTTTTTCCCAGACTCTCATGTGTAGGAAAAGGCGCTAAGCTGCCCCACACGCAAGTCCCGATCATTCTTCGGATCAATCTTGACAGGTTTTAAGTGAATCACCCTTCGAACCACCTCTAGCTCTTGCTCTCTTTCGACAATTCACAGCAGTGTCACTTCATGCCTTGGTAACCAACAAGAGAGACACGATACAGAGGCAAAAGCAGTCTCCTCAAGTGCAAAAGTGCCAACCATGCTAGTATTTCTCACGTCTGGCATACCTAAATAAACCTCACAAAAACAGTAACAAAAAAAATAAAGGAAGGACGCAAAAAAGTCGCCAAAAAACACCCCCAGATCCTGGCGACGAAAGACGGTAATTCCGCCAACCCTTGCCTTGCGCAACAACAACCCCCCTCGCACTAACTCCTGCAAAACACGCAAGAAAGTAAACCCTTTATTCCCTCGCGTTTTTTGCCCGCCTCGACGTATGGGGAAAAACGTGCTGCGCCCCGGGTCTACCGTCCCCTGTACCATGGTATTATCTCCCCCGTGCCGTGCCCCACACCATCCAACGCCACGCTCCATTCTAGAACAGCCGACTCCCTCCGCTGCAGACAGCCTGCACACTCCCTGAAGGTAGAACACCGCACACCGGTGAAGGTAGGAACACAGCACACTGGTGAAGGTAGAACAACCGCCCTCGCCCCCCCGCCCCCCCCCCCCCCCCCAAAAGACTACCCGATCCGACCCCACATAACGCTGTACTGCAATGGGCTAAGGGTAGTAGGAGTACGCGTCCCTTCCACCTCCCAAAACGCCGCCCGTCCTGGCTTGCTCTTGCCCTGCCCTGCCCTGTGTCGTGCCTTGGTGCGTGCGTGCCGCTTGTTTGGGCGACAGTCCGTAACTTGCTCGGCGACGGCGGGCAGGGGAAAGGCCCTTGGCCACCACCGACTCGAGGGACTTATCGATCCATCATCCACGCTCGCTCGCTCTCGAGACACTAACGACAACGAAGACCACCCGCTCATTCACCACAGCGAGACGACAACCTTGACAAAGCTGGTCAAGTAAGCGAACCAACAGCGGCAGCAAGCGTAGGGCGGGGTCCGCTTACCACGCGTCCGTTCCGGCGTAGCTGCCGCCGCCGCCGCCGCGGGATCCCCCGTAGCTGCCGCCGCCGTACCCGCCGCCGTAGCCTCCCCCGCCGCCGCCGCCGTACCCTCCCCCACCACCGTATCCTCCGCCCCCGCCGCCGCCCCCGCCACCTCCGCTGCCTCCTCCACCCCTGCTTCCGCCGCCGTGACCTGCAAGCGTGCATCAAAAACAAAACAAAATAACAAGTTCGTCAGCATACCGTATGCTCGGACGTGAGGCCTCATGCGGGACCTGCAGAAGAAGCGAGAAGCGGCCAAGGCGGCTGCGACAGCGGCTAACGCCATCGACATTCAACAACACAACTGAGAGGCCATCCAATCTACCACGCATTTGCAGCGTGAAACCAAACAACTTTCCGCACCCTCTTGTTTTCCGGCACTCCATACAACAATCCGCTCTGTGCACTTCGTCCCGCGTGACCCCCCCGGCTGACATACATACGTCAAACACACACACACCGAGAGTATGTGTACAACTGGCGCCAGAATAAACGAATGGGTCCAATACCTACGCACCTCCCCCACCGCCGCCGTCCTTCCGGAAGTCCCTGGCGCCGAAGTTGCGGCCGCCCTTGGAGCCCCCGCGGGTGCGGCGCCCGCCGCCGCCCCCTCCGCCGCCGCCGCCGTACATGGCCATGGAAGCGAGCCACTGCGGGCACTCCTGCTGGTTCTCGCCGAGCATCTGTGTAGACAGACAGACAGACAGACAGACACGTGAAGCGCATTGTTGTTGTTGTTGCTGTTCCATCAAAAGAGGTCCGGCACACTCGTTCAGAGAGATCTGTATTATGTGATACGTTCTTGTTGCTTCACAAAGAAATCCGAGGCACGACACACGGAAACAGCGGAAAACATAAGAGTAAAGGGGGATTCAATTTTAGTGGGGATCCATCCAGGGCGGGTATGGTATGGTATGGTATGGTGTACGAAAGAGAGCACAGAGGTGACATCAAAAAAGGGTTGGGGGTGATGCACGGTATGAAAATAAAACAGCAAGCAACGACGACAATAAAGGCACACGCCGATTGGTCCCCCATGACGACTGTCGACTTGACTCACCTCGTACAGCTCCCTAGCAACGTTCCTGTTCTTCTCGTTCATGAAGGAGAGCGCGTTACCCACGTTGCCCACGCGGCCCGTTCGACCGATGCGGTGCACGTAGTCATCGATATTGGTGGGAAGGTCGTAGTTGATCACCTGGGAACATCACGCAAGAATGGAGCGCCACGCAGCAGGAGCAGGGAGGAGGGCCATCGTCAGGGGCAGTGGGAAGTGGGCGTGAACTCGCAACTAATAACCCTTTACGATATTTGCCACGCGACCAGGAGGTGTACCACAAAAAGGTTGCCGTCGGGGTAGGGAGGGGGTGGGAAGGGGTCCCCGTACGCGCATAAGACAGCCTAGCTTGCAATTATTCAACGGCTACCAAATCGCACGACACACACAAAACAGTGTTTTCCGTGTGCAGGCGCACGGAGACTGGCGTCTTGTCATTGATCGGCCGGCTACAACAACGTACCAGTTACACAACACATCCCATGCCGACATTCCCTGTTTCAACTGCACTGAGACTGACGTGTTTGCATTTGTCAGCCGGTTTACAGCAGTAGCGCGGTCGATGCAAAGACACACAAAGCACACCTGCGTCACGTTGTTGATGTCCAGACCGCGAGCCGCGACATCGGTGGCCACCAGGATAGGGGTAGTGCCGGTCTTGAACAGCCGCAGCGCGTCCTCCCTCTCTCTCTGCGTCTTGTCGCCGTGGATGGAGCTCGCCGGGTACCCTTGATCGGAGAGCTGGTACTCCAAGTAGTCAGCGTTGCGCTTCGTCTCCGTGAAGACCAGCACCAAACCGGTAGCCTCGAGGTTGTTCAGGGTGCGCAGCAGCATGGGGAACTTCTGGTTCTGGTCCACGTACTCCACCTGTCGTTTGGGGTCACGCAGGATTGTCAAGAGATATGCGTAAGTACTTCGAAGTATACCATATTATTCCGTCCAAGGGGTATAAGGCCAGCGGGTAGGCCATTGGGGAAGGGTCCCAGTGACAGCAGTGCTTGGGGGAAGGTTCCGCTGGGAAAAATACAACCCCAAATAATACGAAACCGCAGGCAGCAGCAACAAAACTGTGCGCAATACTGTAGCTACGGTATCTTCAACAAGAAGAACGCTTTTGGAAGTGTCATTTTTCTTGTATCGTTATAGAGTGCCAAACCACCATGGCCAAGCAAACACTAACACTGCGATAGGCGCAGCAGAGCAGCAGAGCAGCAGAGGAAATGATAAGCCAAGCACGCAAATGCACTCGTGCGATGACGCCAACGCTTACCGTCTGGGTAACGTCCTTGGAGGCAGAGCCGACGCGGCCGACCGCGAGGAAGATGTAGTCGGTCATGAAGTCAGCCGCCAGCTGCTGGATCTCCCGAGGGAAGGTCGCCGAGAACATGAACGTCTGCCTCTCACCAACACGGGTCATGTCTTCTTCCTAAAAAAACAAACGCACACAACAGATCGAATGGGACGTGAGGTAAGCACAGCAGTATAAGTAGTCCCTGTACAACAACGCCGCGTGAGCAAGACCGGTCGCCCTGTAGATTGCCGCTGAAACCGCGAGAAGGACTAAAATATTCAAATTGTCTCGTATACTGCTCTGAATACAGACCGTGTAGGCCAGGTGATGGTACAAGGTAGAAGGCCGGCCTATTCCATCTCTTGGTCGGGAGTGTAAACCAAACCAAACCAAGTCTATATCCGCTATGCTTGCCTTCGCCTTCGTATCAAGAGAGAGAGGGAGGGAGAGAGAAGACAGACAGATACAGGTAAATGAATGACACACCACAACACAAGACCTCACTCCGTGTTTAGAAAACACAAAACCAAGAATAAAAGAGCATAAAAAAGCTTCCTCCTACCTCCACGATACGGCGGATCTGGGGCTCGAAACCCATGTCGAGCATGCGGTCGGCCTCGTCCAGCACCAGGAACTGGATGCATGCCAGAGAGATGCGCCCGCGCTCGAGGAGGTCAACCAGCCGCCCGGGGGTGGCAACGAGAAGGTCGCATCCCCTCTCCAGCTCGCGGAACTGTCATAATACAGTAGGGGTGGAGACGGCGTGCGGTCGAAGGAAAGGGTTAAGGCTAACATGGGAAGCATCGTGGCATGGTGTCCGTACGCACTGTCTCTGGGGGCGAAGCAAACAAAACAAGACAAGAAATGAAGTAGGAAAAGCAACCGCGTTTGGGATGATTAGTCTGGATCCCTTCGTTACTCCGCTGAGTTGATTGGTTCTGGTGTTTATCGGAAGTGTGAAGGAAAAAAACGTGGTATTAATAGTGAACAAAACAAAACAAGAGATAAGAAAGGAAGATAAACAAAGAAAACCAAACAATCCGAGTGTGTGCACTCGCAGGAGGAACCAACTCTGTATCTGCGACGATCGATCATCCATCATCTTTTGCCAACGCAAGCAACGAAGAAGGACAAAAACTGAAACCAACAACAAAAATCAAAGTGACCGCTGACCTGCGAACGGACGTCGGCGCCGCCGTAGATGACGACAGGCGCGATACCCGTGCGGTAGCAGAACCGGCGAGCCTCGTCATAGATCTGGGACGCCAGTTCGCGCGTAGGCGCCAGCACTAGAGCCACCGGGTAAGACTTCCTTCGACCATCGTTCGGGTACTGTATCGTGTCGAGTCGTGCCGTGTCGCGCCGCATCGCATCGCATCGATTTGTGTCGGAGACAAGATGGAGGACCAAGAGAAGGAAGGGCGTGAGAGACAGTTTCAACAAACGGTGCCTGTTCTGTGTGTCAGTTGTTGTGTTCACAGCAGAACCTGCACTCGAAACAGCCAAAACACGAACATGGGGCCTACATCGCCATCGGCAAACCTACACAGAGGAACGTGTGCTTGAAACCGCCAAAAACACGGACCTATATTGCCATCAGCGACACTACACCGCAGAACCTGCGCTTTGAAACCGCCAAGAACACGGACCTACACCGCCATGGGCAAAACTACAATACACCGCAGAAACCTGCGCTTGACGCCGCCGAAAACACGGACCTACACCGCCATCGGCAAAACTACAACGCAGAAACCTGCGCCTGACACCGCCAAAAGCACCCACCTGGGGTCCCCCGCGCCTGAGCAGAGAGATGAGGGTGGGGAAAAGGAAACCGGCGGTCTTCCCGGACCCCGTCTGCGCGCACGCCATCAGGTCGCGGTTGGAAATCCCGATGGGGATCGAGTACTTCTGCACGGGCGTGGGCTTGGTGTAGCCGCAGAGGTTGGTGGTGCGCATGAGGTCCTCGCCGAGCATGTCCAGCTCGAAGCTGTCGATGGGCTCGGGCACGTTCTCCCCGGAGGTCTCCACCGGAATGTCGTCGTACTGGTGGTCCATAAAAAAAAAAAAAAAAGCGGTGTTAGACACAGCAGTACATACGCGTGCGCGCCTGTGTGTGTGTGCTATTTTTTCTTAATATGACCCAACGAATCCATCTCTATCTTTGAGAAGAGTCTAAGATAGATTAGCAACGAATCCATACATGTCAAGTAGTGGGTACGTGTGAGTGTATATTTGAAATACTTGTTTGCGTCGACTGCGTTACTAACCGTCTGACCAATGATCGGACGCCAGTCTCACAAGTGCGACTGAGAGCGCGTGTACGTGTGAAAGCAATAGGGTCAGTGAGGTGGGGCGGAGGCAAACCAAGAGATAAATATAGGACTTGTGTGTTACATAGAATACAACGTCTTGTGGTTTAACCGCCTAGCAAAACCGCTCCATTCCAAGATCGCGGTTGCTCATCGCATTCCCGTGGTATGATAGACGGATAGATACAGGATCGGTGCAAGCTGTTTGGCGGCTTTCGCCGCCCCGCTCAATAGGCCAACGCCAAGACACGAGAGCAGTAATACTCTACTTTCATGCGCAGGAAGCAGCAGTTTACTAACAATTGTAAATCGTTTCGACGCGGAACGAAGGGGTGCGTATGCTACAAGTCCTCCCTCGAGTCGTACTGTATCACCCGGTAAACAAAAAATAGCAACTTGCGCTGCGTGGCGTCACACAAAAAAAGGTTAAGACGCAACAGCGCTCGTGTAGCGAGGTAGAAGTATAGATCACGACTGCTACCGTACAGGTGGACCATTGCTGTATACATGGGGAGGGGAAGATGTGGTGTGCGACAAGAGTGGGGAGAGACTTTCGATTAACATGGGAGATACGGATAACGCTTGGAAACGCAATAAATACCCCGAAAATCTGTGCGCAAATGCGGGTTAACGAAACAGCACAAAAACACACCACAAGAGGGGAAAATAGGTGCAAGGGCGCCGAGTCCATGAGAGGGTCTTCTATTTGAGAGGAGAGGAACAGGCCTCACTCCCTCACTCACCGTCATAGCTGCGTGTTTCACCCAAGCGTTTGCTCGTTGAGAAGATAGAGACCAACTCAGTGCAGAGCGGGCAGAGCCGACTGCGGCGTTCAACCCTACTTCCAAGTAAAAATTATGCCCGGAGGAACATATGTGTCACTACTGAGACGAGCAACTTCCGGCGAGAAAGAGGGCCGACCCAAATCACGAACCGCGTAGATACAAAGATCATTTCAGCCACAACGAGACTAACATATAACGCTGTCCTCTTCGGCAGTGGCGCGAGAAGTCGTTTCTGCGTTACGACATAACTGAGCTCATGATGACGCTGTCCGGTTTCCGCGAGCGGCCGATAACGCGAAAAGACAATAATAGCACGGGGAAACTCCAACTTCAACAGAAATGGAAAAACTTTTCTGTCAGCTATCGAGAACATCCTGGAAAATGAGAGCCCGCGAGAATTTTCTGGTGAACGGATGGAGAAAATACGGATGGGAAACGAGAGGCGTAAGCTCAACGCACAAAACGCCTATATACGCAAAATACCAGTCTCTCTTTTTCGCCTGCGACTGACGCCAGGGGAGCCACACGCATCACGCTTCTTGTATCTCTACAATGTACTACCCCAAGAGGACGGCAGCGCACAAACGCGATATCTAGAATACTGCTGTAAAACACTAGCCGTTCATTCGTACTTGACATGATTGCTTCATCGCTAAAACACACCCTGCTGGGCGGTTGTCCGGTTGTCCGTGCACAACTTGGGGTTTTTCTGTTATTTGCGCAAAAAAAAATGCCGACGTCCCCACAAGCGTGCTCGTGCAAGTTGCTCGTTTGGCTTTGACGGCGGGGGACGCACAACGGGCCGACTTTTGTACTTTTCGCCTTGGTTGTTTCGTCGAAAGACTTTTTGCTTGGTCCGAAGTAGTTCTCATGTTTCTCACAGAACAGCCCAACGAAGAACATAAACCAGCGAACCGGCGTGGCCGGATCGATCGCGCGAACCGGAACCAGAAGTCGAGAAACAAGTGACGCTTAGAAACGCACAGGTAGCCTCCACTGACGCTATGGACTCACTGCTAATCTATCTTGGCCTCTTTTCAACAGAAAGAGATGAATTCGTTGGGTCATACTAAGAAAAATAAAATAAAAGGTATTCACGTACCCGGTCGAAGTTGATGCCCTGGGAGGCGTGTTCCGTGGTGTTGAAAAGCTGCTTCTCCAAGCGCAGGTCTTCGTTCATGTTCCCGTGGAACCCTTTGGCGTTTATGCCTCCGCCCCCGCGTCCCCCCCCCCCCCCTCCCCCGTCATTCCAACGGGAGTTGCGCGGGGCCGGGCGAAAGTCTCCCCTGTCCCACCTGAGTTGATTGGCAGAAAATATGCAAAGGGGGGGGGGGGGGGGGGGGGGGGGGGGGGG